TCCGTGGAGAAGTGGGACTATTTCATAGAAGCCGAGCAAAAAGAACGCAAATGGAATGCTTTGTGTTACTACCAGGACCATCGACCGCAGTATTACCATCTGCGTGCCAGCATGTTAGCCTACGCGCACATTAACCTTCTCGCGATGCTGCTGCGGTTCGACAAAGAAGACATTCCGCGTGTAGCCACGGATTCTTTGTACGTGAAACCGCACGTCTTAGAGAAGATGAAAGAATTCTACACAGAAGACGAGTTAGCGGAAAGTGGACAATGGCGCGTCAAAGATGAAGAAATAAAAGCCTGGAGAGCGCGCGTGGAATATCATGGAGAACACACCCAGGGCACCGTAACGCCTACCAAAGAGCCTCTACCTTCGGTTGCCGACCCCATTTCCTACCAACGCTTCTCTTACCTCTATGGTACGGGAGGCAGCGGTAAGACGACGCGTGTGTTAGAACTCTTTCCTAAGATAAAGGTGCTAACGCCAACGCACCGTTTGGAAAGAGAACTCTGCGAAATGGGCCACGACGCACAAACCTACCACAGCTTCTTTCGTTGGAATGGCCAAAAGTGGGTACCGGAAGCTATCCACGACATACCACSGGTAATACTTTGRGATGAGATTTGCACCGTACCTTTGGAAATCCTGCAGGAGTTCGTAGAATTCCTCCGTGGAAAGTGTCAAGTGATATTTGCCGGAGATCCCTGCCAGCCTCCTCCAATAGCCGGAGAGATGCCCCACGAATGGCTAAAAGAAATGGCAGACCATGCGGAGGAAATTAACACCGACTACCGCAGCAAGGATCAAATAAGAAACCTGAAAGCGGAATTAAGGGGCCTTAGTGACGCCGACCAATGCAAAACACTGCGCAAACGCGTACGAGCGAAGAAATACGAGGACTTCCTTTACACATGGCATCCAAAGGATCTGGTGCTGAGCAGCAAACGCGCAGCACAGTCTCGCATACAAAAGGATTTGCTAAATATACACCGAGAGCACTTCCCTACGCATCCCGTACCTGTTTGCTACAAACCCCACGACACCCGCATGCAAAAAAGAGACGTCTGGGTACCTGGTACCGACATCCAACTGCA